TCGGGCCGTGAATAACTTGGCCGAACTTATTTCTAAAAGTTAATTCGAGCGCGAACACATCACACGATCACTCACACACACACACACCCAGGCATCAAACACACACAGCGCTCTGTGTTTGAGGTTCTTAAGGTGTATACCCGAATCTAACTTATTTGAGGTTCTTTAAGGTGTATACCCGAATCTAACTTATTTGAGGTTCTTTAAGGTGTATTACCGAATCTAAGTGCGCATGAGTTTTTACACGTCCTTCCCGTCGAGGTTACGGCCTAAGTCTCGTCCTCAGCAGAGACTGAGGCCGTAACTTCAAAATGAAAATAGCGCCTCATTATAACTACGGGTTACTGCATTCAGTCCAGGACAGTTACGTCATTTCCATTTGCATTGTTGTAACATGTCTCAAATACGGTGGCCTTTGAAGAAGTGAGAATGCAATGATTTTCCCAATCGCGTAAAGCGATACAGCGCCCTTGCTTATTAATTTGACTTTCGAATTCGAATGGTATCCGACGTTCTATATCGCGAGTACAATGCAGCTTTCGGCGCACCTGATGATCGCTAGAAATGTGGTCTGCCTGTATTTCCTGCAAAGGCCGTCGCTACTTGCAGCTCGGATAGGATAGCTTTGTTCGCTGCTTAATGATATCTAGATAGATTGTTGGACTTCGTTGTGCAGAGATATCAGGAGATATGAGTGGCAGCTGGTGCGCTTGCGTGGGAGTATACATGGTGAGATAGTAAGAAATACTGATCGTGCGGTGCGCTATAGCTCATTCAAACTCTACCGTGTGGCCTAGAGTCAACGTTACAGAAAAATTTCGCTCTAGCGCCAGAACCCAGTAGCACTGCAGCACAAGTGCAAAATGGCGAATAGAACACGTAGTTCTTTAAACGTCGCTACGAGGATTACTGACAGATTTGTGGACGGTCCTTCTAAACGTTACGCCTCCGTTCCAACAACCAGAAAAAAAAAGCGCCAAAGTGCGCAATCGTCGAATTGAAAGTACTATCTTACTGAGCCTCCGAAAGGCCGTGATATGCCCCCAAGAAAGCTTTTCATTTGACGCCACTAACAACAAAGCCGTGTTGCTGTATTTTCGCGAAACTTGTGTGCCGAATGAGACACTATCGCCACCATTGGCTAAAAATATAATGTGTGATGTACGTTTCCAGAACATTGCGGATACTTTAGGGGATTGTACTTTACTCCTTCGAACATCGCACAGCCCTCGTCAAAGTATTGCAACACATTAACATTGCCGAACACTTGATGGGGTAAGGTGTCTATGAAATTTTTGGTGAGCTCGATTGTGACGTCGTAAATTTGGTGTCAGACTGTGGCGTAGCCAGGGTGTGGCACAACGTCCCCCCCCCCCCCCCCTCCAAACTTCATTCTCATCTTTGATAAAAGAAATGAAAAAATAAAGGTGTGAGAAAAACTTTTCCCTGCATATATAAGCATGCCAGGTTTAAAAGAAATGTAAAAGAAATAAACAGGGACATCTAGTTAGCTCATTGTTTAATTAGCCCCACCTGAATTTTTTTTTTTGCAATGGCATATAGAGCGAGGAGCTTATCGAGAAGGTTGCTCCCTGATATCAATGAGGTGCGTCTTCCCCCACTCCCCCACCTTTACGAAAAACAAAAACTTCTGGCTACGCCTCTAATGTCACGTGACACCAAACACTGATAGCGGAGCCACAAAAACGCTTCAAACAGGTTCAGATACGTCAAGCACTTGAAAGAAAAACAGTCAACACTCGTCAGTTATCGTTTGCCTGATTTGGATATCTGCAAAATTTAGAAGCGACTCTGACTTGCAGGTGAGGTAATGACATTGTCGGCTTGATTTTAAATGTTGATTGATTGATATGTTGGGCTTAACGTCGCAAAATCACAAGATTTTCAATCAATAATCACAATAATTTTCATAATCACAATCAATAATCACAAGATTTTTCAATATCACAAGATCAATAATCACAAGATTTTTCATCTCGTAGAAGACCATAGTACTTCTGCGAGTGATGAAGAAAGCAAAGCTGGGCACAGTGGAACGAAAGCACGAAAAAAACTTGGAAGTACAATAAAAATGCTCCTTCCTACCTCAATATTCACCGAGAGCTGATGATTCTGAATGAACGGATGAATTTTGGTACTTAGCTAACCATCATTTACTGTGACAAAACGTACTAATAGTGGCAAAACCAGTTTTCGGGAAACAAACTCAAGTTCACCAAACATGCATCGTTTCTAACTGTATGATAATCAGCTTTTCAAATAACTTGAGTGAATTTGACAATGAACCTAAGCAAAAGATCTTTCAAAATTTGCCTGTATATGCCCGCATTGTGCTCATGAAAAGATTATAAAACCACAGCAGTACGCTCCAGCATTTGTCTCATTGTCGTGATTCGCTGAAAATTCGTTGCTTGTGTTTTTTTCTTAGTTTAATGCTCGATTCTTAACAGCAGTCTTTTTTTTTTTCAGTGGCATTCTTCCATTTTATCCTTTTATACAGCCAACTAATACATATTCCTACTGACACGATGTAGCTACCTTGGAGCATATGCTCTGGCGGTGCCCCGCGTTACGCTGTGGGGAAGTTATCAAGCCGTCCGAATGGGCGGGTGTTATAGCAACTCTGGACTTTGAACAACAGCTACGGGCAGTCCACCGGGTTCGCAACGCAACAGAGAAACTTGGCCTTTCTGTTCTGACGTGGGAGCGGCCTGAAACGTGCTAAAGCACGTTCCGAAGGACTAAATAAAGTTAATCCATCTATCCATTCCCCCATTTGACATAAAACAGACTAATTACCAAGCGATGATGTCGGAGCTTGAAAGAGTTTGGAAATTACAGAAGCAAGGCGTGTCAAATGCAATTGACATTGGCGACGAACCTGGAAAAGACAAAGACATGACTAACCTGGATAAAGAGACGAGTGACTGTCAGAGCATCAACCGCCTCATCGCTAGACTTCCCTGCTTGCTTGCATGCTTCTCATTGCAGTCTCTTGCGTCACGCAATACAAAGAAAAAAGAATGAAACCGGTGCCCTCAAACACCGTCACGAGGAAAATCACGTAACATCGCATGCTGGCGGCGGCTGGCGTGGTTGAGTGTTCACAAAACCGTGCTTTGCAGCTGCAGGTGCGCAAGCCTTATGCACGTTGTGCGAACAACACGCACAGCTGCCAGCCGCCAACGTTGCGGGTGCTAAGCATTTAAAGTTCCGCTATGCACGAACGAAAAAAGTGGCTGCGCCTACAAACGACTCCGAAACCACGCTTGCATCAATCGAGTGGGGCCGCTTGCAGAGTGTGTTGGACGTAAGACAACGGATGCCTGGTCAGATGCTTGCGGCCGATTTCGCATGCGTTGCCGCAGGACAGATATCAGAGGGAGCATTCTTTCGTTAACGCAGAACTTGGAATACGTTTCTATATGCGAGAAAAAAGAAACCCCTAAGAACGACTGTATATTTTTTAGAAAGAATTTAATATAGTGAAAACCGACGTGTAAGAAAAAAATTCAGCACGTAATCAGCAGCATGACAATATCAATTCGGTTGCTAACAAACCTATTGATGCCAATATTGACAATGTAGAAATATATTCTAATTACGATGCACTATCGTTGAAACCTGTTGCGTCGCCGGTTTCAACATACAGTTATGTTTACCACCAAGTGCATAAATTATATATATATATATATATATATATATATATATATATATATATATATATATATATATATATATATATATATATATATATATATATATATATATATATATATATATATATATATATATATATATATATATATATATAACAAGGGCTTACAGCTTGCAACATGCTAAGCATTGCCTTGTTTTTTTTTGGTTTTTGCCAAGCATCTTACTATTCCTCACTTAGACTAGATCTGCAATAGTTGAAGAAAGCCATCATTTCCAGCTGTTCCACAGCTGTTTTTTTCATCCAGACGTCACTAGAGAAGACAACTAACGAGTTTATTCTGCAAACTCCGCATGATGTAAATGTGGTTTAGTCAGACCAGCATAGTCACTCAACACTCGCCTAAGACAAGGTGGTGTAAAGTTTGATTTTTTTTTCTTCTGTACGTCAGGCCGTACGGCCATTTTCGGTAACTTACGTTAAAGGATTAAAATAATTTCGTGTTGACCCTTCAAAATATACCGGAACATTGTATGTTTAGTCCAGCAAGACGTCCAGCATCCAGTTTCTAAGCGTAATGACTGATTGAATGTGCCGAATCCTGAAGAGCACGCTATTCAATTATAGACGCTCCTAGGAGGCAAAAAAAAAAAAGAATTGAAAAGTGGTACAATGACATGACATAAAAGTGAAGCTAAGTGAGAAGTGCTTAAAGCTAATTAGTTCTTTGCCATATCTAAGCAGACAGGGATGAACGCGATAGGAACATAGAGAAAATGAGATCGCACAAGGAGCCGAACTCTAATGTGAGCCTGGGGTGACGCTGACGTGGGGTAAGACTGGCGGCTGGAGCCAACACCACCTAGTGGGAATTCTTTCTCGGTGGCGCTGCTGGAGCCCCTATCCAGCCCCCCCCCCCCCCCCCCCCCCCCCTCTCTGAACTTTTCACACACAACCTTTTATTGAAGAACATAATTTTCCGTTCCCCGCGCCCCTGAAGGAACTCGCTTTCTCCAACACCTCACACCTCCTTCCTCAGTAAAGAAATCCTGGCGCTGCCTCTATTATACAAGCTGTATGCGTGAGGCGCATAGATTTAGCCCGCTCGTATGGGTTATCGCCCAGTAAAACGAGTGTGCGAAAAATGAGATAGCAAGACCTCGTGGTCGACGCCCATAACCGACATCTCGCTTTGTCAGTCTCTGAGCCGGAAGTCGCCGACGCGCGTCCTGTGTCAGCTTTGTTTCGAAGTCGCGCGTCTGCGGATAGCTTTAAGTTGCGCGACGGGTAAAAACGTGCGTATGGAGCCAAGTATACTCACCTGGGCTGCACTTCCACGCGCGACAAGCCAGCGTAATAAAGGTTAGTTTGCATTCGTAAGCATCGTCCGCCGCGCCGCTGGCGTGCTTGCTGCCTTGACTAGGCATGCATTCAGCATCCGTCTACTCGAGCAACTTATTCCCAGCATCGCACGTACGGTGTCGTGTTGAGTTTTGTGAACACGTGCGGTTAGCGCTGAAAGAGAGGTGACATCTACCGGCACACTGCTAAAATGGGTGTGTGGTTTTTCCGACGTCCAGCGCAGCCTATTGTAATCAGAGGGCGCTGCACTTCAAAACAAAGGCGATATTTCCATATTTACATCTAATTTTATTAGGCATAAGTGGAGGAGTTGTTCCTACGTCGCAGCAATACATACGCCGTCTTATCTGGGAGAGAGTGCCAACTGCGGTGGCGGCGGGGGGTGCAGGTGCCTATTTTTTTTCTGTAGGCTGTCCGCACTGGCAAAACAAATAAATGGGACGAGGTGCCTTGCAAACGGGAGTCACGCAGGTATGCAGTGCATTTTGACAGCGCAGCTGTTTCAGCTGATCGTTAGACTGTGTTGAATGAACAAAAAACTCTCACCGTCATGATTCTGCACGCGCCCTTTTCGTCGTCTTCGTCTTCTGCTTCGTTCGCAGAACAAAGAAAAGAGTAAATTGAAGGGCCCGTTGTCTTCGTTAGGCACAGTAATAGTTAGAGCTAAAAAACTTCCCTTCACATTGTTGTCTGCTAGTTCCCATTGATATTGTTTCCACAACTTGAATCGATTAATGTGGCGTGGAATAGTAGAACTGATATGGTCGAGAAAACAATGCACAGAGAGGAAAAAGGGATAGAAAAAAAGCATAGAAAGAATAAGAAAAGGAACAAAGACAGAAAAAGATAGAGAGAGGAAATGCATAGACAGAGAAGCAAAGATACACAAAAATAAATAGGAAAGAGAGAGCAAGACATAAGGAGAAAAGAAACAGAGAGAAAGTAATAGAGAGAAACAAAGCTAAATAATTATGAAATGATAAGTCGAAGAGATAAGAAAAGGAGAAGAGAAAGAAAGAGTGAAAAAGAAAAATAGAGAGAGAAAGATAAAAATGCAAATAGAAACAAGAGAAAAACAAAACAAAAAAAGAAACAGAGAGAAAGAAGGAGAGGTACAAACAGAGAGAAAAATAACCAATACCAAAGGAGGTCGTACAACTCCCTACTTTCTTAGAGCTTGGCTGATATAGTGCGAAGCCGGAATTTTTCTATTTCATTACATGTCCCCTGTTTTTCCACGATGATTTTCCATTCACCATCGTGACGCGAAGTAGAGACTGAGCAAGAGAGCGGGAGACAGATAATATTTTCATTAGGCATAAGTTTAGGAGTGCTTACTACGTCACAGCAATATATGCGCCGTCTTAGCCGAGTCCGCCATTGGCGGTTCAAGCCACCTCTGCAGTTAAAGCCATCGGTGAGACTCTTTCACGGCTTGGGCACCAACATAGCGCTAGAGACAATTGACTAGCAGGGGTTTCATAATAGCAAAATATTCGGTCATGTTTTTTATTCTATTTCGCTTGACATCAAACTTGCATCACCGGCGACGCCAGCCTAGGCGAGAACCGGGAACATATTGTGAACATGCCAATCTAACGCTCCACCTGTCTACGCACAATTTGTCTTTCTTTTTCTTTCAAAGTGAATAACTTTGCCTGCTTCATTTCGAGGGCTGCCCCGAGTCGATTGCCGCGCAGAAGTGTTGAATGGTATTGTTTGGCTGAGCTCGCATAGATAACGCTAAAAATTTGGGGATGGAGGTTCCGTCTAAGTTTCCAATCGATCAAATCTTCCGTATGTTTCTACTTACATTTGATAGAATGGCTGCGAAAGATAGCGGCGGCGTGCGATAAGCCTGAAAGAAGGCACTTCTGAATCATAGAAGAATTTGGAAAACATTGCTGCTTAAGTGCCTTAGCCAATGGAAAGCATCATGCAACACTTAACTGTTTCTTATGCATAAATAAATCCATTTCGAAAGTTATTCTGAGCAGCCACTTGCAAAATGATCATTAGTCAGTACACTTTCTCAAACTTTCGTGCACGAGTTCAGGCGAGCAAAACAAGTACACATGAGCATACATGAAGTCAAATATTATTAATCGCTTATCACAACAGAACACAGAACATTGGTAATTACACATAACCTAAAACGTGTGATCCCGGTCAAATACTTGTGGAAATAATTATTATTATGTGCCGACGACCGCGGTATGAAGAGAGTAATTTCTACCAATGCTGACCCCAATTTACTTAACGATCCTTTTACACAATTTTGCAGTAGGTGAGAAAAAAGAAAAACCAGCATTAATTTTGTGAAAAAAGGTCACCGTGTTTCTGCAAGCAAACTTTTTAAATTGCTCGTTTACAGGCTTCAATTACCTTTGCTTCAGCTCCACATCTGACATAATGCTGGCAAGGCATTTTGGAAAAAGAGGTAATAACGCACTGAAGAAGTTTGGCTGCCTAAACAGTACATTGCAAGAGGCTCCGCGTGCAACAAAATTGCTAACTTCTCAATCGATCGTCCGTGCAATCCTCGAATATGGGTGCCCCATCTGGAACCCTTATCTCTAGCATTAGTATTATAGAAGTACTTGAAAAGTATTCCATGTGCCATTAGAAATAAATCTACTTACCTTCATCTCTTCTTGTTGCACCTGCAGGTCTATTGGCGTAAATCATGAGGGGTCATAGGGGTCCAGACCCCCTGTTTAAGCTGGGGGACATCCCTCGCTAGTGGACGCCATTAACCTTTAGGTTTAGCGCCTCGCATGCTTAATTTACTTGACAGTTAAGTACAACGCATTCCACTTTTTTAAAGGCTGATTATTTTTTAGTGTGTACCTGTGTTCATAACTCATGGGCTGTGTGAGACTACGCAAATTGTAAAAGCCGCTGGACAAGCGGCTTTGGCTGTGACGTCTCGATCTACACCATATAGATGCATTGTCGCTGACTGCCTGCTTGTGTGCATGTTGTGCGATGTGCTATCTTTCTGCTTTCTCTTCCCCTTTCAGTCTCCCCAATCCCGTTCCCACGTGTTGGGTAGCAAACCGGTTATTCTGGACTGATTATACCTTTACTTATCTACCATTTATTCTCTCTCTATTACTTCAAATTGTGATGTAATTCTCGTGTTAATAAAAACACAATCCACATTAAAAACACAAAATGGCTATCATAGCCTGACCAACTTTGGCCTGACTGGTGCTCCCCCCAACCCTCTTTTGTTATTCTTGAGGTTTTACGCCACTGACCAGGTCAGCAGCTTCTGCCCGAGCGACGCGATCATGAATCCTCGACGCTGTTGCATAATATTATTAGCGCCTCGCACTACTCGCTTACTAAAAAGTGTCTCGTCTTAAAGTAAACTCACCAGAAGTAGCCATAAACTGATCCTGGCACCATTTCAATAGCGCGCAAATTAATTTACAGACAGCCTTCTCTATCGCACAATAAAAAAATTGGGCATCTTCACCGAAGTGGTGTCAAGCCTGAGGGAAGCGCGGAGCTAGACAGCCGTTTTTTTTTGTGATTATTATGATGACTCAAACAAAGCTCATACACATTTCGGCAGTGTAGTCCTTATGTTGAAGAGAAATTAAAGGCAGCAAAAAAAGTTTTTTTATGTTAAATATTTTCGCATTAATGATACTCACTCAAGTAGGAAATTAAAGCCTGGTTCGTTTTCTTTTATGATGGTAAGCACAAACGGCATCACAAGCGTTCTTTGTGTCTGTTCGGTTTTTTTTTTGTTACTCCTATCTTTCTTCCTGTCTTTCTTTTTAGTTTTTCTTTCTTTTTCTCTGTTTATTTCTGTTTATGTCTGCCTATCTCTTTATCGACTCTTTTCCTTTTTCTCTCTGTTTTTCCTATTTCAGCGGATGGCAGTACTGTGATACGCGACCGAATTCCGGAACGTGTTCGTCTGTAAGAGGCGCCATGCCGTCGCCATGCTGCTTGCTTAGAGAGGTGTGTGCTTTGCCCCGGCACACACCGGGGGCCCCGCTTTACCCCGGTGTCTTGTAAGGCTTCGTAGTGTCGTCATAACTAATCGTGCGGTCTCGTTTCATACATGTACTTCGCGCCGCACTGCCGACAACCAGGGCCTTCATCAAGCCGTTCTCATGGCTTTTAGCCTTGGTGGTCTTGCAGTTTCGTCTGATAAATAAAAGTTTCAATAATAATAAAAAAAATACTTAGTAGCCAGGTTGCGCACTACTTCATTTTCGGGGACGGAGAGAAAGAGAGAAGTGAAGGGGAAAGGCACGTAAGCTAAACAAGAGTTGTATACCCTACACGGTGTGTGTGTGGAGGGGTGGGGGTATAATAAATAAGACAGAGAAAAAGGAAAGAAAAAAAAGGCAGATCCCATGTATAGTGGAAATCGATGATATGCGAACCACGAATGAAAAATGTTGACATGTCACTTTAAAATCAGCACAACGTTACGTAAATGATGCCACTCATGTCTTCCGTGTCATGATTATCATGTTTGGATCTGTTGTTTACCTTCGTAGTATATTCACGTCACGTGATACTGATACCAAATTTAGTATATGTGGAGCTAGCGAAACGGCTGCGAGCACACTATAGTGAGCGTGGTATATTGTCATTTTAGGGGCGAAGCTCCTTATGGGGTGGCTTGGGCGTCCCTTGTAGTACGTAACCACCGGTGGCACATACCCGAAATAGGTATAACATTTGACCTCCAAGGTAGTGCCGGTGAGAGATTTCTTCTGTGCGTTGTTTAACAATAAAAAAATAGTGCTCAATGTACATGCCAATGGCTGCTAATGGGGAATGAGAGACAGGGGCATTCGGCTTTTAGTCAACGCGCACGCTGCGATCCCCATTAGCAGCCATTGGCATGTACATTGAGTACTATCGGACAAGAAAGGGTTGCTACATTATACTCGCTGGGTGTAACCTCCTTAGTTTTAGAAAGGTTTAGCGAGCGTTGGGCCGCATAGCCATGAATACAATGAACTAGTATATACCATGAAAGAATTCGAGGGGGTTAAAGGGGGGAAGCAGATACGAAGCGCAAGCCGTAAGAAATTAAAAGCTGAATCCTCCTGTC